CATTACCACCAGCCTTCCGAATCGCTCGATGGGAAGCAATGCTTCGAAGTGAATATTTAACTAGTCCCTCAAATTCCTCACTTATAGCTCTCAAGCTAAGCCTGGATTACTCAAATCCTAAATTATCGAGCAACAATATCAGATTTCCCTCAACATAAAACGAAAGTTGTGACCTAATGAAATAGTACAAACGACAACCCACCAACAGGAACATTGTCTTTGAGCCATTCGACAGTTGGTTTCGGATAACCAATAACAGGACAGTTGAGAAGCACTGTCTCACCTTCTGTTGCTCGCACGGCTAGTGATTTTATATGGAAATGATCATCCTTATCAAACTCATAGATTTTTGAGCTGTTCGCATGGAAGACAGGACGCACTGAAATGCATTTCAAAACCCATTCANATTCAAAAACAACCGATTGAGAAGAAATTTTTCATTTGAGTTTTTGAATTTTTCATTTGAGAAGAAAACTTTTCAGAAGCATGTATCGAAATGCATTTTCACAGAATCAGACTAAGTGATCTCAATCACTTTTTCAAGTTCTAACTCTTAACATTTGGTGGATTTGTTATCATGTTCATGCAGCGTATTAGAGAATCAATGCGTTGGAACGTATAATGAGCCAAAGAGCCAAAGATTTGCTGTCCAACAAACTTACTGTTAACGAAAAGCCATCCCCAGATGTGCTGATCATCTTCTGTGGTGATCTCACAGCGATATTTGCCAACACTATGAAGTGTTGTTGAGTTGAATACCAGTATCGCTCGATTGTTACTGATAAAGGCTGGTAGTATTTCTTGATCACTGTTCCGAACGAAATGCGCTGCTTTTATCGGTAGCAAGTCGTCAGAGGACTGTGTTCGACCTTGACACCTGAATATTTTAAAACAACTCATTGTCCGAATTCTTAAATGTGAACAATAAGGAGATTATCATTTGAAAACATTCATCACTCAGTTTTGCACGATAGTGCAATACACCAACCGGAAAAAAAAACGCAGCATAAATAGCGAATGGCATAAAACAGATGATAGATCACGCGCAGAATCCTTGGGATCTTTCGAATGTATTCCCAGTAGACCATAAAATCGATCCCCCCCACCAAAAAACCGCAATACATATGGAAGTTTTCAGATTTTTCAGCAGTTTCTAAAAAACAATGTTCCACTGATTGAATGTCACTTGCTCGCAGTTATTCGTAATCTATTAAGCAAGCCATGCTCTTCGAGTGATACATGAATTTGGTTAGAACGATGGCTTCTTCGTAATTCCTCAAAGGCATGCAAAAAACGTGATCAGCCACAAACGACTGCTGGACGTTGTTAGACATACGCTAACACTTTTAATCATTCCTAACAAACTCTCTAGTCAAATAATTTTTAAGCTTCATAAGATACTGGCATTGTAAATTTATGAATTGTAAATTTACAGTTATTGCTATGAATTGATCATTTGAGAATCATCATTTACATGATAAACAGCAGTTAATATTATAGTTACCGGTAGTTAATATTTTAATATTATAGAAATATTCAAGATTAGTTGTCAACTCCAGGAATAAACGTTACATTCGAAAAAAGCTCATTTACAATTGGACTGTCATCAGCTGATAGTCAGTATTCACATCATTACTGCTACTGTTATTGGTTTTATCAACATGTGTTGCTGAACGACTGCATTTATTGATGTAAAATATTCTGTTGTTTAGTGACGAAGTTTTAACGCTGCGTTGGAGTTCAATGTTTTTTGACACATTCATCGTTATGGACTTATTACGTGACAACTGATTATACACTAATCACTTCTCATTATATACAAATACACTGATTATTTACATTATATACACTTTTTGCTCCAAAAAGATTACTGCTTTACCACTGTTCACAGTTTTCCATAGTCAAAAAAAGGACGTTTATTCCCTAATATGACTGGACTGCATTTTGAAAGGATTACTTCGAGCTGTAATATAAGAAAACGACCCTGAAATCTCTGTTTTATGTATACAATCAGCGTATATGTATACATTGATAGATCAACGATTGAAATTAGGATTTTTGCAGCACAAATGATTTTCTAACCTAACGGCGTGGAACGAAGTGTATTTTCAGGAAATGAAGAGTATGCTAGTTATGGTAATATTAACAACAACGAAACATAAACTCGTACAATTATAGTTGCTGATTCGATGATTGAAGAGAGCACAAAGATTTTAAGAAAATGAATCGGTCATTAAATGTTCGTGTCATTTATTTTGAAGCTGAGAGAATACTTGAATATTTCCAGAATATCCCCTGAATGATTAGCCTCTTTCAGGAGAGGATTTTCACCAAGACTAGCAGTTTCATTTAAGCTCATAATATTGATGCGCTTCAACTATAAAGTGGACCTCTTGTCTCGCAAATCTTATCGTGCGATGTCATTCCCATCTTCAAACGCTTATTTTAAAATGTTGTCTGAATAATTCAACAATATGCTGGTGAATTCCCTCAAAAGGCCTCGAATTGAGAGGATTTTAATAGGACGTTGAAAATTCAACTGTCTCGATGCATAAATAAACATGATTCATGGTTTTAATTACATAGTCAATAGAGAAATGGGATTGGTGAAAAAAAATTTCAAGCTCGAATGGCTTTCTTGGTCTGATTTGTTGTGAAAAAATACGGCAGATGCGAAATTTGAACTGAGGAGTATTTTCAATGCTGTTCCATCAACGATAATTTTATGACCTATACAACTGACTGCAAGTGATTTTCGTTCAGAGTCACAATTGAATGAGAAAATCGAATCGCTGCAAATAACATTCGCAGAATACAACAACACGATTCAGCGTATTGTGGTGTTTGTATATTATTTTAATTGAGATTTACAGGCATTTTCATGGAATGTTCATATAATGCCATCGCTTCGCGTGACACCTTAACCGTATGCTCTGCAAAAATTCATCCACTTTTTCTACATAACCACAAATAATATTCGTAGGGAAATTTCTGCAGGCAGAGTCAATGGGTGGAATCTTCGTTGGTTGAAGGTGAGCTTCACAAATAAGTTGAGTCACTAGAATTTTTTTGAAGAGGGATGCGATAAACGTACCATAAATCAGGTACGTCAGCTTTCTGAGGTTTTTCTTCACCGGATTTTGCGGTTTTTGCGTTG